CTTGAACAAATTTCCGGTAAAAACTGGTCAGGACCAAGAAACCCTTGAGTGTCGTAAGTGACCAAGGTGGAGGCCAATTCATCATGGCTTGTATCTTGTCGGGGTCTGGTTGTACCCCGACTGCTGATATAATATGGCCCAAATAGCTAACAGAATCCACACCAAAAATGCAATTCGATAATTTGGCGTAAAAGTGATTAAAAGCCAATAGGCATAACATCGTTTCTAAATGTTTCATGTGATCAGCAATATTAGCACTATAAATCAAAATGTCATAAAAAATAGGAAAAATCGCCTTAAATGAGGCTGGAGTAAATCATTGACTGCCGCCTGGAATGTCGAAGGTGCATTTGTGAGACCAAAAGGTATTACGAGAAATTCATAGTGTCCATCAAAAGTGCGGAAAGTGGTCTTTTGGGTGTTAGAGGGGTTGACCCGCATTTGGTGATACCCTGAGCGTAAATCGATCTTAGAAAAAATAGATGTGCCACTCAGTTCATCCAGCAACTCATCAATTGTAGATATCAGAAAACGATCAGGACTAGTGATAGAATTCAGTGCCCGATAATCCACACATAATCTCCAATTGCCATATTTCTTTCTTATTAAGAGAACTGGAGAGGAGAAGGGGCTTGTACTAGGGACAACAATCCCTGTTTTGAGCATATCTTGTAGCATGGTTGTCATTACTTTCGTTTGGGAGTGGGGGTAGCGGTATGGGCGAAAATTGATTGGGGCAGAGTTTAGTAGTAGTGGTATGTGGTGGTCATGTGGTCTGGATGGGGGTAAAGATGTCGGTGTATCGAAAATTTTGGCGAATTTTTCGATAAGGGGTTGGATTTGTTGGTGGATAGGTGGTGTGTCTATGGTAGTGTTTGTAGGTAGGATAGTGATAGCATGAAAAGTAGAAATGTTATCAGTTTGAAAAAGTGGGGTAAATTGATGTAATGGTTTGCTCTCCAATTGTAAATTGCATGGAAGGTACCGAGAAATCGAAAATAATATGTCCAAGTGTGAGGAGCCACTCAATACCAAGCACCACATCTACCCCCTTAATAGGTAGTAAATAGAATGGAATGATGAACTTTGTATTCTGCAATGTAATCGGTGTGTTATCACACAAACCACTACAATAGATATGTGCTCCATTACCAACCATAACAGGAAATTGAGGAGTGTGGGAAATCGGTAAGTGTAAGTGATTGGCAATTCTGGATTGTAGAATATTGTGTGAGCTTCCAGTGACCACTAGGTCTGTCATAGGATGTCCGTATAAAGAGCCCGAAAATTTGAGTGTTTTTGGGGAAATATTTCTGCCTAAAGCTTGGTCAGAAATATGGAAGTGAGTGACCTCTTCTGGAAAAGTTTCCAAGTCTTGAGGGGCAAAATTGTCACTACTGTTGTCCAAAGAATGGATGGTAGCATCCATAGAGAAATTAGGATCATCTTCCAACAACAAGAGGAATCTTTTGGTTTGTCATCTATGGCTCGATTGAAATTTCTCATCACAATTGTAGCAAAGGCTTTGGGCTTGGCGTTGCAGTTGTTAAGCGACAAATTTGAAGTGGAAGAGCAAGAGTGGGCTGTGTTTGGTTAGGGAAGGTTGGAATAGAAGATTTGGACCAAAATGTCTTCTATGCTTTGTTGAAAGATGTTTTAATTAAAAGGATAATTTTGTAAATTAACTTTCTCTCTCCTCACACTTCTAAACCTCAATCCTCATCCTCATTTCAATTATTCTCAAATTTAAAAAACCAAACTATCCCCTCTTCATCCCCTGAAACCATGTGCCCTTCTCACCATAGACAATAACTTTCTCTCCTTCTCATTATCGCCATTAAGCACCAATGATTCTGGTGGTCGCCTTCGGCATTGATTCTGGTGTTTGCCTCCGCCAGTGATTCCGGTGGTCGCCTCCACCATTGATTTCAGTGGTCGCCTCCGCCATTGTCTAGCTGCACCATTATCTTTGCAATTTTTTGTATCTCTTATATTTGTTTTCATTTGAGCTTTCAGTCCTTAATATGAATAGAATAATGTAAACTACATTGTTCCATTTTACATTATACAAAAGAATGAATAGAATAATGTAAATTACATTGTTTCATTTTTACATTTTCTAAATATACAGTGTTATTATTTGACAACAAACGTGTATGAATATAGAGTGTTCCCATTTACATTTTCTGTAAAAAAAAAAAAGTCTCTGTGAAGCTGCAATTAAACATAAAACAGTAAAGCACTAAGCTACAGGTTTCTAATTTATGGTTTCTTAATTTATGGTGCTCCCATTTACATTTTCATAGATTTCTTTTTCTTTTCAACTTCTTCACTGCTACTTGGGTTATGCATTGATAGTAGTAAATATAAAACAGTAATGGACTAAACTATAGGTAATGGACAATCTATAATTAAATTATGAAACAAAACAGTTTGCAATTAAGCAACTAACGCATAACTCAGCACAAAAACATGTAACATATGCTGCATCAAGTGAAAAACAAAGCTATATGGCGGAGGCGACCACCGGAATCAATGGCGGAGGCGACCACCAGAATCAATGGCGGAGGCGACCACCGAAATAAATGGCGGAAGCGACCACCAGAATTGATGGCGGAGGCGACCACCAGAATCGTTGGTGCTTAATGGCGATAATGAGAAGAAGGGAAAGTTAGTGCCTATGGTGAGAGGAGCACATGGTTTCAGAGGATGAAGATGATATAATTAGGTTTTTTAAATTTGAGAATAATTGAAACGAAGATGAGGATTGAGGTTTAGGGGTGTGAGGGGAGAGAAAGTTAATTTACAAAATTATCCTTTAATTAAAACATCTTTCAACAAAACATAGAAGATATTTTGGTCCAAATCTTTTAATATACAATGCTAACTTGTACCTAACTGAAAAACTATATTTCCCATATATATATATATATATATATATATATTATGAGCCACAAATGGTTGGAGCTGCCAAATGAATCTTGTTTGTGAGTCTCTTTAGCCTTAGTTCCTAATTTGATCGGTAAAAAATGAAACCAATTCAATGCAAACGTGAACTAGCTACTCGAATTCCGCTTTGAACTGGAGAAATTTCTGTTCAACCTTGATAAATCTGATTAAATTGGAATAATATGGTAAATGAACCAAACGGTTCACTTAAAATGTAAATTAATAGAACATTACTCCAATGTTTTGTTTTATTTTGGTGAAACTCGGTATAATGATAAAGCTGTTTCTCCTAAAACTGTGCCTAATAAACTATATTACATTTGGAGGTTTTGGGGAATGAGGAAAAACTTTCACTATTCTAAAGTAGAAATAAGCATAATTTTACATAGGGAAAGGTTAATTAGATTTATTTTGTTTTTAAGAAGATTTATTGTTACATAGTTAGAGTAAGCATATTTTTAAGGATAATTTTATTCCTTATTTTGCACAATAATCAGTTTGGTTCTGGTGAGAAACTTATAAAGTTTTGCGAGAGATGAAATGATTGACAATATGTAAGGTTAAAGATCTAATCAACAAGTTTTTATAATTTCAAATGTAAGGTTAAAGATCTAATCAACAAGTTTTTATAATTTCAAGTATGAAAGACACATTGTTATTTTCAAGGATCAAAGTTATACTAAGCTATAAAATCTCCCATGACTATTATAGAATAAGTATTTCTCAACCCTTTACCATAAATACTTTTCTAAAATATATTTCCTTGGAGTTTAAATCACATCAATTTAGACTACTATAATAGAAAAGTCCCCACTATAATGAAAGTTATCAAATAATGATTTGATATTTTTCTAGAATCGATCAACTTTATCAATAAATAAAATCTAATAATTTAATATATTTATTATACTATAGATTTTATTTTAAAGGGGATATTGAAATTATGGCAATTGATTATACAAGTTTTTTAAAAATGATACACCCATTTCCATGGTTTTTCGTGAAGGATTTTGACAATTCATATAGCCTCCAAAACTGATAAATGATACAGACTTAATGAGGGGATACCCAAACGATTGGCCGATAGAGGATAATGTTCCCTATATGTAAACATATCAGTAACGGTTATGTTCCCCAACACACCAAATCACAACTAGTTTTCCTTTTTCCCTATTAGATAGAAAACAAAGGTCCCTTTGAGGAATTCAATATTTGGTTGAAGAAGATAATTATACTAAAACTCTCTTAAGGCTTATCAAAAGAAGTAGCTGAACTTGTAAGAGGAAATATTATTTTCATACACACATTTTCATTAATTTCTTAAGATTTATTTGATGATATTTTGCTTTGAAATATTAAGTTAGTGCCAATTATGGGTATAAGTTTGGAAGAATAATTTGACATTTTATTCTTTGATTAAACGTGTAGTTATGCTTTTTTTTTTCAATTGTTGTAAATACGTTATATTGGTAGTATAAAATTGCAGACAACCTCCAAACTATTGTGGAGCAAAACACCCCATAAAAGACGTTATCATTGCATACCCTCCACCCACACAGTTGACTCGCCCCACTAACATTAACCAACATGACAACATCACTGACCCCAATGACCACTTGGATGCCTTTGAAGCATCCATGTTGTTCCACGGAGCATTTGACTTGGTCATGTGTTGAACATTCCCCCCACATTGAAGAGTGCAACCTTACAATGGTTTAGACGGTTGGAGCATAATAGCATTGATTAGTGGTAGTGATGGAAGACATGTTCAATGTGCCAACAAGGCCCAAACTCGCTGTAAACACTCAATTTTGTCCGGCCTAATATCATAAACCAAAAACACATTTTTTTGAAAATACTAGAAATTGAAAGTTTGTAAAGAACTTTTTTAGATATCTGGGAAGACACATTACGTCATGTAATCATTATGTTCTAAATCGGTGTTCATAACATGTTTGATTAAGGGTATTTTATTTTTAATCAAATTCAATTTAATAAAACAATGTTACAAATTGAACTTCTTTCATAAAAAAGAAATGAAACAAAGCTCATGCATTATTATTCACTCTCCAATTTGATAATAGTGTGCAACAGCTAAAGGTGAGAGTAATCATGAATGAATAACCCAAATGCCATGTCAGGATCTCAAAGTGGCCAATCTTTTGACTCGGGAAGCAAACTTAGCATTGCCGCTAATATAGCTGATGCTTTGGCATTATGCACAAGGAGCTTCGTGAAAGTGGAGTAGCTCATGGAAGAACTACAGTAAATGAGGAATCACATTGAATAAGAAGAAACAAGCGCCAAAGAAGGAGAATATTAAAGATGGAAATGAGTGTAGTTTGATATGCTACATTGCTCCTACTGTCCCAATTCTTTTGTTCAGAAGCCAAAGGTTGCAGACGTCGATAGGAAAGGCATGTCAACACTGTGGCCACATTGCAGTTCCCTAGTGTGAAGTCTCCACAAAAACCTGAGCAGTTACCACAGCTTAAAAACTCAACAAGGTCCAAAATCCCTAAAATTCAATTGGTATTCTATATGTTCAAATGCAGAAAAAACAGGTTTATAATATCTTGGAACATTCAGAGTCCCGGATTAAACCAAGAAAATGGCAATTTCATAATTACAATTGAAGGAAAGGCATGAAATCACAAAGAGGAGTTTGAAAGATAGGATCTTACAACTATGTTGGCCAAGAAATAGAGGAGTTGAAAGTTGAAGCCATTAAGGTTGAGAAGAGGAGAATGATAACCTGACAAAAGTAAATCAATAGATTAGGCAACATACACATTTCTTTTGCTAGCTGTTATTTTGTGAAAGTTATGAAATGATATCAAGATAGGATTAAAAGCGATCAACCAAGAGTCACAGTTGGAAGAGTTTCAAAGGAAATGCAATAAAAGAGATGACAACAGTTAATCATTATTGATTGACCTCTCTTCAGTTACAAAAGCACAAGCAAACGTGAAAATACTCAAGCTGAAGAACCAACATAAATCATTATCCTTTGGCATCTTTTAGTTTCAGTTACACTTGCAATAACCACATAGCTTATGGTTTTCTGATTAAGTGTTGAAAGGGAGTAATTAGTGCAGGTTAGGTTTCTTGGAAGCCAAAGGGTTCCACACATCAAAGAGGGAACAAAAAGGGTTTCATAGAGAAACACACATACATCACGTGCATACACAAAGGAAACAATAGCCGCCATATCGAAAGCGAGATAAAGGAAGATTGGAAGCAGGGTAAGACGACGACATCAAGGTTACATACAATGTTCTCGTTGGTAACAGCTTATCGTGCATATGTTAATCATCAATTCTGAATCTATATGTTTATTCGGTACACATCGTATTTAGTTGGTCTCACAAGAAATACACACATCCAGTGCAAACAAAGCAATATAGTAAGTTTAAGATGATTCTGGTTATGGTTTATTCTGCCCAAATCTATTTTCATACACATGCTACCAATCAAGTCCTACAATAGAAGATAAATAAAATTCTAACATAGGAGACATAGTGTTCATTACCGTAACCTCACCGTAGCGCCTTGCTTGACGTCCCTTTCCCCATCCAAACCGAAATAAGAAAAGAGATGGAGGACGAACATAATGGAAAAGCTTCGTTCATCTCCACCATGGTTATCACCGAAGAGAAAGGAAGAAGATGGTGGGTAGGGTTTTCGCCCCTTTCCCGATTTGGAACCGAGGAGAATGAGAGAAAGAAGGGATGAAGGAATGAAGAAGACGGCTTTGGATGACAAACCGGTTACATTGCCGCCTCCTCCGCATGCGCCATCGTCACTGCCGTCGGTGGGGAAGAAAAGCAGTTTGGGATTTTGAAGTCAATTTGGACTTCACGGTTTTGAAAGAACAGTACACTCCCTTTCCATTATTCTTTCCATTTCAATCTTTTTTATCTTCCTTTTTTGTGTTTTTTCTCTTTTATTCTTATTATATTCGTGGTTTAGATTGCCCAAGATCAAACACTCACTTTTTAACATTGTTTTAATTTGTTATCCGTGTAGATTTATTCATAAAAAGTCAAGTAATTAGAAATGGGTTAAATCGGAAATATAACAAAATTAATTCTTGAATAAATTTCAACGCTATATTTTAATTATTTTAAAAATCTCTTTAAGATGTGATGCGGTGTGGACATTGGTGTCTATTGTTTCATCTATCTTAAAGATGAATAAATTTCAATTATCTTTAAACTATTTCAAAATCTCTTTAAGATTTGATGCGGTGCGAACATTAGTTCTTGTTGCTTTATTTATCTTAAAGGTGAATAAATTTCAATGATGTATTTTAATTATTTTAAAAATCTCTTTAAGATTTGATGTGACGTGGACATTAGTTCTTGCTACTTCATCTATCTTAAAAGTGAATAAATTTCAAACGATGTGTTTTAATTATTTCTAAAAATCTCTTTAGGATTTGATGCGACGCGAACATTAGTTATTGATGTTTCATCTATCTTAAAGGTGAATAAATTTCAAATGATGTATTTTAATTATTTCCAAAATCTCTTTAAGATTTGATGCAGTGCAGACATTACTTTTTGTTGCTTCATCTTTTCTCAAAGTGAATAAAATTTCTATCAATATTTCAAAACAACTAAACCAACACCAATTAATTTTCGAACCAGAACTACGTAGCCTTGATTTCTCTATTGCACCTAGGGATACGTAGGAACAAGATGAACTCTTGTCAAGCACAACAATGAAAAATAAAAACATTTTTCTTTTAATTACTAAATTTTAATAAATAATTTAAGGGTACAAAAGTCCATGTTGTTAGCGAGGGTACTGTTTTATTATGGGCGAATGGGGTGTTAATACCTTCCCCGATCCGTAATCGACTCTCGAGCTCAGAATCTCTGCTCAAAGACCAAATTGTCCTAATCGAACATAATTTAGAGTTCTCTATGTTTTAACCGCAAAAAACGTAGTGGCGACTCCAAAACAATTGGAAGAGGTAGAAATTGAGTTCGCCTCTCCCTAAGTCGCAGGGTCGGTCTTCCAATCGAAAATCGGGTCACGACACCTTACAATGGTTTAGACGGTTGGAGCATAATAGCATTAATTAGTGGGTAGTGATGGAAGACATGTTCAATGTCTGATTCACAGCCAACAAGGCCCAACCTCGCTAATCCTACATCATAGCGGGCATCACGCAATGTCTCGATGAGTCTATCAGAGCCTACCCGAACCTTTTCAATAAGGAAGCAATGAAGGTCCACACTTTGAGTTCCGATGTGGTAGTGCACCTTTTCGTTACAAGTCTCTGGGCAAGTCTCTTAAAATGGAGATGGCCAAAGACAACGTGGATAATATGGAGGATTTGCACGCCAAAGCCCAAAAGTTCATCAACTTGGAGGATACTCTAGACGCCCAGCCCATCGTTGACTACCAACCGCACAATCCCTTACGAGAGGGTAAGAAGCCCCGCGTCGTGGAGCCACAAAGGGCCAAATCATCTAAACAACCAAATTACACCACATACATCCCACTTAATGCCAGCCGATCAAGAATCTTGCAAGAGGTTATGGCCGCCCACCACTCCCAAAGTCAAATCCAATTTGAAAGACTAGATCATAAGACTAATCTATGTTCTATGAAGTCCACAAGATGTTCGATCACAAGACCAACAAATGTACAGTAGCAGGACACCATTGTAGACCTGATCCAAGAAGGCCACCACCAAGAAGGAGCTCCATGCCCCGGACTCACTAGAGACGTCATCCATGTAGGGAACACACCAACAGATACCGTACGAACAACAGGAGGCAAAGAAGTCATGTTGACATTCATACCATCTCTGGGGGCTTCGTTGCCAGCGGTACTCCAAGGTCAGACGAGAAGATGTATCATTGGGAAGTGTTACAAGTGACGACGGGGAATGATAGGCACTAGTATGCCAATAGGTAATAATTGTGAATATGAAGGCATAGTCTGGGAACATGACGATCCACTGATCTTCACGACCAAGCTTAATAACAAAAAGGTCAGCATGCTGTTTGTGGACTAGGGTAGTTCCGCACACATAATATTCCAATACCTTTATGAGAAGATGGAACTCCATGGACGGGACCTGCTACATTATGACGTTCAACTTGTGGGATTCACTTAAGAGAAGGAATAACCCGTAGAGGTTATGTCAAAGTATAGGTAATAGTCGGGGACCAACCTCTTTGCAAGAGATCAAAGCCAAGTTCTTGGTCATTGGTTGCAAGTCGGCTTACAACGCCATTTGGGCGCCCAACCCTTAATTACCTTGAAATTGTAGTGTCCACTCCACACCTTCGTATGAATTTCCTCACCAAGGACTTTAAAGTCTACATGGTCCAAGTGATCAATATGCTGTCAGGAGTTGCTACAAAGAGTCAGACCCACCAACAAGTTGAAGTAGCCCAACCTCGACCAACCTCATCGCCCCTTGCATCTCGACAACAATTATTTATGTTTTCCTGCTTACTAGGAATGTGTAATGGAACTAGGCTTCCTAAAAGTCTGGGCAAAAACCATTATAAAGCATCGAAACATATATGGTAATGAGATATTCTAAATTTCCCATTATTTCATTATCATCAACTCTCCATCAACAAATCCTCCAAGTGTGTGAACTTTGTTCCCCTTGGCTGATGATTTAATAACCCGCCTTGTGCATGAGCCTTGCTCCCCTTGATCGGCAGGTCTCAATCAAAAAAGCCCCTAAGTGTGTGAACCTTGTTCCATTGGCCGACTATTTAATAACTCGCCTTGCACATGAGCCTTGCTCCTTTCCCCCCAAGTGCGTGAACCTCATTCCCCTTGGACGACGATTTCATAACCCACATTGTGTATGAGCCTTGCTCATTTTTCCTGACATGTCTCCATCAACAAACACCCAAGTCTGCGAACCTTCTTCCTATCGGCCGACAATTTAATAACCCGCCTTGCACGTGAGCCTTGCTCCAATTGGCAGGCACGTATCCATCACCAAAGTCCCTAAGTGAGCGAACCTTGTTCCCTTTGGTCGATGATTTAATAACATGCCTTACTCTCTTTGACCGACAGGTCTCCATCAACAAATCCCCAAGTGTTCAAACTTGTTCCCTTTGGCCGATGATTTAATAACCCACCTTGTGCGTGAGCCTTACTCTCCTTGGTTGACGGGTCTCCATCAACAAATCCCCAAGTGCACGAACATTGTTCCCATTGGCCTATGATTTAATAACATTCCTTGTGCGTGAGTCTTGCTCCCCTTCCGAGACAAGTCTCCAACAATAAATCCCCCAAGTGCATAAATTCATGCACCCATTGGCCAGTCACCCATGCTGAAAGAAGTTGGAAGCTTCCAAAATCAAAGTGCAAAAAGCTAGCTACCCGATGACGTGACGCAACCCCGACTTTCACTTCAAGCCAAATATTATAACAAGTTATTCATGATCGATTTTCATCCAGCCAAACATAACACACCAATATTGATTAATTATTATCCCGCATACCAACCAACTTTGGCGACCGTCTCTCACACTCAACATCTCGAAGTCGGACATAATAATCATGATGGAAACAAAATAATAAATTTTAAGCAACAATAGAAGAACGCAAGCAAAAATAGAAGAGGGCAGAAAATACAAGTCTTTTGATTCCATTAATCGGAATAGGATGTTACAAGTCTTACAAGCCTTACGGTAGAAAGAGATATTACAATTCTTACAATTTCATTAACCAGAAAAAGCTATTCCAAGTCTTACAAGCTTTGCTAAGTTGAACAAGTACTGACCTTACAAGTCTTACAAGCTTGACTAAGTTGAAAAACTACAAACTGTACAAGTTGCTAAGCTGAACAAGTACAAATCATGTTACCTACACCTTATTACGCCCTTCAGCGACAGACAAAATCGATCTATGGCGCAATGACATGACTAATACAAGCATAAGTCAACTATTCATAGAGTACGGATCGTCCAAAGCGGGTGACACGAGAAAAGTAACCTTTGTCTGTCTGAAGCAGGCCCGACAAGACATTTGATCGGCCAAGCCAATAGCATCTACAAGAGAATATTCCCTTTACCTCTCCACTTTTAATAAGGGGTTCCCACTTATGGAAGTTTACTTACTCTTACTTACACTTACCGATTTTACTTATTCTATATGCACTATATCTCTCTCACACTGACTTAACTGTCAGAGAAACTTTTCAGGCAATTCTTCCGGCGCACTCAAACATTCCTTAAGGTGATACTAGAAGATTTGTTACCAACTTTCGTACATCTTCTCAAGGTCAAAGAACAAATAGAAAATAAGCATTAAGCACAAGAATAAGAAGGCCTATGTGATAAAATTTCAATAGAAGAGTTTTGGTGTTTGTTAACTACAAAATGTAAAACTAAACTAAACTAACAAAATAAAATTTTAGGAAAAGAATCAAGCTGTAATTAGAGTTCACTTCTTAACAATTCAATATCCATTTGATTCAATATACAAATTATGTTTATGCTTGATTTTATCACATCATTTCTGTTGAGAAATTTGTGTCTCTCATATATATTAAATCTTATTAAATATTATTTAATAAGATTCTTGATTGCATTGTTGATAAATTTGTGTCTCTCATATGTATATTAAATATTATTAAATCTTATTAAATATTATAAGATTTTTCTCTCTTATTCATTTGCCTATAAAAGGGCAATGCTATGGCATAACATCAAACATCAAAATTACATAGAGTTTTAGATTTCCTACACAAGTGTATTTTGGTGAGAATTCTTGTTCCATTTGAGAAAGTATTTGTGAAATTAAATATTGTTCTTTATCCTCGTTACTATAAGAGGATTTATTGTACTCTTCCTTTTTACATAATGGAATTTTGCTCTTGAGTGCTCGTGGTTTTTTTAACTCTCACACTGAGGGGGTTTT